GATCTTGTTGATTAAAATTGATTAAATTTTATTTATCGTCGATAAAATAAAAAAGAAAAATGAAATCAAGTACAACAGAAGAAGAGAAAAGTGAGGAACGCGTAGATACGCGCCACCTCGAAGCTAACAACGTTTCCACTATCTCCATATTGCTTCCACATTTGCGTTATGCAAAATCAAGGGGACCAGAAAATCCACCTTGGCAAATATCTCGCAACAGACAAATTAGAATAATTCGTCCAACTTCTAAGATCGCTGTGTTAAACCACGACATTACGAATCATCCTTCGAATAATTAAAAAATTTATCAAACAAAATTTATCAACTTTCTACTTTGAAGTCTTTATAATAAAAGAATCTTTATACAAAGAGTTACAATTACACGTAACAACTCCTCTATACTTCGTACAATCCTTTCACTGGATTCGCATTCTATTAAACCAATAGCAAAGAAGTTAAAGAGACCGGTGAACCGTCAAACGCTCTTTCCAAGTGTGTACACACACACACACACAGCAACAACTTCCGCGCCACTCCTAAATCAATTGACCACATCGAAGAGTACACCTTCCAATCGACCTCCTTCATTCGAATCATCGTTCGAGACGTTCCAGCTCCAACGATTCGATTCCCGTTCCTTTATTGCGTAGCGCCAAAGCGGGACAGTTCCAATCCAAGGTTCCAAAGGGATCTCGATCGAGAAAAATCCGCGACATCGACGGAAAGAGTATTAGTCTCTCCGTCGATCGAATCCCAAAAGCGGCCGTTGAAAGTCGAAAAGCAGCCCGAAACGTGATCGGACTGGAACACGTACGAGGCGTAAAGAGGATCCTTTTTCTCGTTGCGAGGAAATTGTTGTACGAGGAATTACCCAGCACGACAATGGGCCAGTGGCTGAATGGGATCGATGGCTGGCCGACACGCGAGTAGATTTATCATGGGACGCAACCCCTTTCGTACCTTCTTTCTTTCTTTTTTTCCTTCTCTCGATAGCAGAGAGGGCTAAGTATGGATGCTCTAAGAATACCTAGACCTTTGTGCAAGTACGCGTAAGTGTATCGATCTTCTCGAGATTAATTTTCAGATTGGAGGAATAATACAATTTTTTTTTTCTCTTTTCGAAATTAAATAAATACTTAGGGAAAATTTAGATTTAATCCAAAGTGTTCGTTCAACAATTCCTAATCTTCTTTGATAATTCTTAAATTTCTTCTCTTCGCGTTAATGAGAAGAAACGAACGTGTAAAACGAATTTCAAGTAGGCCAAGTTTTTTTCCTTAACGAAAGATCGAATGGCATCGTCACGTGCGCCATTTTCTTCGAGCAGCTCACATTTCTCGTCTATAGTCGGACGGATACGGATGATAAAAGACGATGGTTGAACGAGGGGCGAGGTTGAATTCGTGTTGAACGAGACACGAATGTGTGCCAAGGGCAATAATCTTTGCAACGGTATCGGCCGTCCAACTATCCTGGACAATGGCGGCTCTCACGACGATTACGGTGGCCAGGCTACGAGCCGTCATTGGATCGAATAACAAGCGTGTTCAGCACGACAGAAACGGGCCGGTCGCGCAATTTCTGATGGCGACGTGGATCAACTGAAACTAAACACGCCACGTAATTCGGGATAATTACCGCGTATAACACGGGGCCGATGTTTCTCCACGGGGAGATGGCCAATGGATTTTGTTGTTTCCGCGCCACGATTATTACGGCAATTCGGTTAATTGGATCGTCGCCCGCTTCCGGCGGTTTTTCAGGGATTGAATGGAACGAGCGTATTGTTCTTCCGCCGGAGAATCACGGTGTTGTGATGTAACGCGATAAAATATTTTCGAGACTTTTATCGTATCAGTGGGCTTTTCGCAACCTTTCCTCGTAGGCAAAAAGTTTTATTTCCAAGCATTCAAATTTTTTCCCCCCTGCTTTTTATTTCTTTCTTCCTTTCCTTCTACGTCGCGCTTTTTGGAGTGGCTTCATATCTCTTTACAATTAGAGTCGGTAAAAAGTTGTTCTTTTGATTTATTTTTTTCTCTTCTTCTTTTGATACTTGTTTTCCATCGTAGAATCTTTCAATGTCGTTACATATCTTACGATGACATAAGTACTTGTCACGCGTTTTGAATAGGAAAAATGAATTTACATGTAGGAAATGATGATCAGATAAGAACATTTTAATTAAGATAAGTGTCTTTTAATTAAATTCCATTAACGTTATCTTCGATGAAGCTAAATATTTGTTGACAATGTTCCACATGATATTCCATCAAATTGTTCACATAATTAGTTTTAATAATAATTACGCGTTAACTCGACATCTTTTCAAAAAAAAAAAAACCCCATTTATTCTATTTAAAAAATAAAAAAAAAAATGCTCAACGTCGTTTCAAAATACGACGAAATCCAATTTTCTATCAACAGAGAAAAAATCGTTTAAAAAAAAATGCCATCACTTTGAAGTTGGTACTTTCAATTTTTCAAATTTTTTTCCATCCCTCCCCCCAAAAAAAAAACTTCTCGTTAATCCAGCATTCCGTAATAACATCGGATAAACGTGAACACGAAATTGATAGTCGATTTTTCCGAAGAGGGCTATCAACGCAGCTTTGTTGAAAATACGACTCGACTTCGATTTTTCCACGCAGGAAAAACGAGAGAGAGGACTAGCTCGACGAAAGGAACAAAGGCCCCCTCGTCGTCAGCGGAAGCGCGCCACCACCAGATCTTAACTATTCAATGAACGTTCGTGTCCATTCACTATGCCGCACGTGACACCGTGTGTTTTCCGTTTCTGTGTACGAAGAGACAATACAGAAGCGCGAAAAACCGGAGAAACCAGTGGACAGGTTTTCCGCGCGGGAACAAAGATTGGTCGTCGACCGTTTCTTCTTCGCTTGCTCGTTCCCAACCTAAATAATCGACCAGAGAATCGTCTCCTCGCCGAGCGTACGCCTGCAATTCGATGCAATTTCTTCTTTTAATGGAATTACGATGGAATATAGAAGATATATCGAGGGTTCATTTAATGGACAAATACATGGATAAGATACTTACAGAATAATCGTTGTTGACGTGGTGCAACTGATTTTCAAGACAGAAATTTTAAACTCTAACGATTTTTGCTAGAAAGTCATAGAAATTTCATCGAAGATGAATTCAATTCGAGGGTATATATGAATTAAATCCACGAAAGCAAAGCGTCAAATGGCAAGAATCCGTCGCTTTCTCGGGGGAGTAGGCGATGCATCATCGACGAAGCTAACTCTCCAATTAGCTCGAGTTCAATCGGATAGCCCGAACTTTCCGCTGTTGATCCTATTGTTCATTGTACCGCGAAATTGCATTAGCAGTTTAAAGTAGCGGCGGTATCATAAAGCCATAAGACCTTGGCAACAATCGTAATCGGATAGGGGGCTCTTAACAACCAACCGTGGCGATAGCCTTTATGAAACAAGTATCTCGCAAGTTTCCACGGAGGGGAGGGTTATTGGTGGCAAAACGCGACATTGTTCGACAGTCGGCAAAGTTCCTTTTCCCGGGCGATATTATTGCGAGAAATCGATACGATCCTCGCGAATCGTTGGATTTGAAACAACCCGTTCGAAAGATTTTGCGAGTCGATCGAATAAATCGAGATAATCGAATATCGTGGATTAAAAATATTTCTTTAATTTTAATCCCTAAACAGAGTTCTCCACAGTTTCATCTTATTCTCAGATGTATGTATTTTTCCTCTTATCTCGAGAGTGTTATGCAAATACTAGCGTTACTCCATGAATAATGCGGTAATATGGATTCGTTATTCGAGGCTCCTTAAACTCGTTGATAATTACCGAAACTAATTACGTATTCTCGTTATCATGCAGCCACATCGAGAAAGAGGAGGAGGAGGAGGAATTTGGTTATCGGAGGAGCGTAGACGATAATAGAGCGCGTGCGCCTAAGTAGGAAATTACATTAATTCGGTAACGATAATGATAACGAAAGTGGGATTTAAACGATGGTAAACACGGAGCCGAGATAAGAAGGCATTTTAACAATTTCAACCGGGATGATTGTGCTAACTCGCGGTAACAATTTGCGGTATAATCGTCAACGAATTGAAAACGATGATCGAGACGATGATGTATGGTAAACACGATTCACTTGACATAAGCTGTGTCAACTTGTAGACCCGTCATAATTTTCCGTATTTTCTGTTTCACACGTCGTTCCTGGTATTCATTGTTTCTCGCGAAAATTATATTGGAACGCAGATTTCCATGTATTCTGGGTTTGGCGATGGTGTTTTTCGTTCTTGGAAATGGACACGATGCGTCGTAACATGTTTGGGATCTTATCGCAACGCGATGAATTAATTAGATTGAAGAAATATATCATGCGAATGAAGAATTGTAAGAATTGAATATTAACCCTTTGCACTCGTATGTCGTTATATTTTATTATTATATATGTATATTTACATTCTTTGTGTTGTATTCTAAGGACTCTTGTTACAATTTTAGCTTAAAGATTTTTTCCTCTTTTCTTCTGGCTAATTGATTTTGTTCCATTTATTTATAAAAAAATCTTCGAAGAAAAATAAAAAGACAACGTAAATTTCTTTAAATTTATTGTCAAGGATAAGGCTTGTGAAGCCCTAGCTTTTATTTTCAATAGTCTAACGATAATTTATCTATTTTTCATATTTTTTTTTACTAAAATGGCAAGTTAACTTGTAATATACTCTCAGAAAAATGTCTTCATTTTGATCGATAACCTTCTTAAAGCCTGAAACGATCATTTTTAACTAATTAACGATGATGAAAAATAATAATATTAAAAGATGTCGCAAATCGTTAAATCATTCGTATATTCGAACATTCAAAGTTAATAATTTTAAATAAACAAAATTTTTACCAGAAATATAATGTTTTTTCCGTTCAACGAAACACAATACCCTATAAAACGTAAAAAAGCAGAGAATAAACACATGAGATATTGTTTAAACGTATTAACGGATAAAACTAAACTGTTTTCATGCGAAACGAACTAAAGATTTACACGCAATCTATCCAAGATTGCGGTTCTCATTAGCAAGATTCGTCATTCTCGATGCGTTTTGCGAACGAGATTAACAGGTTATTTGTTGCAGCACAAACAGATCAGTGTGTCATGGTGCGTATCGCGTTTGTATATAAGAGAGGATCAAGGTATGAGGGATCGTCAGACTGGACTTCGGTTTCGTTCGAGCTTCGAAACAGCGAAAACATGGCGAAAAGCGTGGCGTCCCTTTGCATCGTCTGCTTAATTTTCACTATCGTCGTCGCGAAACCCGTTCCTCAGCAAAACAGTAAGTTTTTTAACCGATCGATAATCATATTGTTGAAAACGATTCGAAAATGGATCTAAGAAATGCGACGATAAATATTAAAGTTAATGAAGAAAATTAAACTAACTCGTGGAAATGATTAATAAATTTGGATTCGATGGATGCAGATGATAGCGAGGTGTTTGCACCAACAAGTATTCAGTACTATCCATACGCGTTTTGGTTCATCAGACCGTATTACGACCAAGATGACATCGATGTTGGCAGTTTCCAGTTAGAACGAAGATCATCTACCATATCGTACGCCAACGTTGGGTAAAGAAAATTTATCGTTTATTAATAATTATCGGTGTACAACGTTTAGATTGAAACACGCAGAAATTCGCAGTGCATGAAATTAAATCTAATAAGAAGGTTAATTGACTAATTGTTCGCCGGTTAATTATATTCTATTAATAATCGAGTTTCTTCGGCCAAACTGCATGATATATTAAACACGTAAAATAAAATTATACGCGGACACGATGACGTGTATATATATATGTGTGTGTATGTATGTATATAGAATAATTTTCAATTAAAATTTTCCTTGTTACAGGGCCGGATGGGGTCGTTAAATTCGACGCTTCTTCGATTTATAACCACCGGTTTCGATGACATGGTCGGCATCATAAATTTATATTTAATCGCGTTAAATTAATTGTTATAATTGATAGCTTATCAGATTGTCGACGAGGAACTGACATCGTAAATTAATAATTAACTTACTAAATAGGTACAAAATAGTTTTACATATATTTTCATATTGTTGTAACTACGATCGTTTAATCAACGCCAATCGTCATCGCGCGAATTCTTAATTGAAAAACGATTGAACAAACGAATTTCAATCGAAACTGCCGTGCGTGTCGATTAAAAAAAAGATCGAAAAGACAATTAAAAAACGTTAAGTGTATCAACAAATTGGAATCGTGGAACATCTTCGATGCGGAAAGCTTGTCAATTTGGTGAATCAATCGAAGAAATTAAGAATTTGTATCTGTAATTGTATACCGAGATGGAAATATCCATAGATTTATTTGAAAATGACAACGAGAAAATCCAATTTTAATCCCACCGATGTTAATTGTCGTCGATTCTATTTACTAGTAAATTGTATTCGAAATCCTCGGAGATTTTATTTTAGGAACATGTTATTCGTTTTGCATCGACAAGTATTTAAGCTGAAACAATTATTGCATTTGCAGGACGATTTGACAAATTTCTTCTATTATTAAACGAATTATATTATATAGTTTAAGAATCAAATGTATATTATTTTTTTATTAGCTTTATCTGGCATATTTTGTATATATTTTTCTACCGGATACGAATAAATTAACCACACAAGTGTAACAAGCAAGTTGTCCAAATATATTCGATTAAATCCAAATTCCACGAAACCACGACACGAGCCAAGAACTTCTCTGTAAACCGAGAACGCAAAAAAAAAAAGTAGCTTTAGAGTCTCGAGCATCCTTAAAATTCATCTCGAGAGAGGAGAGACGATAAAAAGGTTAAGGTCCATCGAAGAGTTTGCAAGTCGGACTCGAAGATAGTGGTTGAAATTTAAAACTGAATAATTTAAGATCGCATCGAATCTCGGTGCATTGATGTAACGCATAGTTTTAACAGTTGGTATAAAGGAAATGGCGATTATGGGAAAGTTACTCGAGATTCTTTGGCCGATTCATTGAATCTTTCGAGATCTTTTCCAAGCTCGAGGGGAATCTGGATCGAGTGGCTCGAAGTATATTGCGACAAGTTTCCACCGGTTGGATCTAGAATAGGAATAGAAAGCCTCTGGGAATTTGTAGAGAAGCTCGATGATCCCGAATGGAAACGATCGCGTGGTGATACTCGATAAAAAGAATTGAAATCTTTGGAATTCGAAAGAGAGATAATGGATGTTCGATTTTTATCAGCGTGAAAAAAAAACCTTGCTTAAATTGCGATATTTATGAGTGAATATCTAAGAATCTTTTTTTTTTTAAATGATTCAGATTTGACGATTTGTTTCCGATTTATTGGAACGTGATATTTGTTCGAGTTAAACGTATAACATAATATAGTTCGTATAAACGGATTATAAACTCCATTTAGCGAACAATTCCTATCATTATCGACGGTTCTCCTGCAATATTCACGGATTTGCCTCGAGTAACTTAATTAGTGATCAACGTCGTTTGAGAGAGTGGAATATTGAATTTGTCTTATCACGACGCACGTTCCATTATACCTCCGCAATTTTAGTTTGCGGGGATTAGTCTCTCTGTAAGCTTTCGCAAGTTTGTTTTAAAACATAATTATGATAAACACAATTGTTATATTCGATAATTTTTCGAGAAACATAATTCTCTTAACTCGTGTAATAATTTTCCCGTGCAGACACGATGAAAACTTAACAATACACATTCCATCGCAACATCCAACATCTATTGTTCCACTCACAATACATATCGATCACGTTCTAAATCCGGTAAAAAAATTATCCGCCAACTTTCCTCCTGATATCAACCAATACCAACCAACTCGTCTAAAATCACACGTGAATCCCCGCGTGAATCTTTCTCCACCATCCAATACTCATTGCTTCGATCATTCGTCAAAGTGTATATCAAACGTGCATTTCTTCCATTTTCACGATTTCTCTCTACGAATCAAATCCGTGCAACAATATCGGAACAAAGTCCACACATTCATCCGAGAAACCTCGGAGAATATCTCGGGCGACAGTTGCGCGAAACGCGAGGGAGGAGGAGACGCATAAACAAGCGAAGAACGGTTCAAGGTTTAATGAAACCGAGCACCCCTTTTAATCGGGCGCGCAGTAATTTTCAAGGTGGAAATCTTAACGAGGCTTTTGTCTGGTAGGCAGCCAAGATGGGTTTAGAAGGAAGGAAGAAAGGAAGGAAGGAGCAGGAAAAGCAGCATGCCGGTTCTCGAGGGCCTCGTAGCTCGACGCCAGGTGAACCACTCTCCCCTTCCTGGATCTGTCCCGCAACTCGTCGACTCGGTAACGCACGCTCAAACGGCCGCTTCTCGTGAATATTTAACAGGCTACTAAGAGGATGAGCTTTCTTCAAGGGGCTCGTCCACGAGCGTGGAAACGGGACACCGCGGAAACGAACGGCCGCGCCCTTTTTTCTCTCTTTTTTTTCTAATCCTCTCGCGCTGCGAAATTATAACTCTCCACCTTTGCACGAGCGACTTAGTTCTCTCTCTCTCTCTCTCTCTCTGTTTTGAGCGGAGAGTGTCACACTTTTCACCGTGGCGCACTCTCGTTTCGAACAACGCGCGCCATTCGGAAACATGGTTGTGTAAATTTTTTCCATTCGTTTTTCACTTCGATAGATGGAAAGTTGCACTTTTGTACTCTCGTTTAGAAAGCTTCGTGGCGCTTTAAACGATTCTTTTTTTTTAATAACCTCCTCGTGGAAGGAATTGTTTCCTATGCATATTTTTGAGGGGATGATGAAAGTTGAGATCATCTTTGGAAGGAATTTCTGTCTCGATAAATGATGTATTGGGAGGGAGGAAAAGAATTTCAAGCGATAAAATCTTTGATTCGAAAGCTGTTCTCCACGAATTATCACTTTATTCGATTATATTTTACAATTAGATCCGTGCTTAATTAATTTTATGACACCGTCCGTATTTGTTTCTTCGACAAATCGGTTGTTCGGATCTGTTTATAGTTGGTTCGAAGCAAACGAACTGCGTTTTGGCGAAAGGAAACGCGCCTCTTCACGCTTCCAACGATTTTGCTGGAACCGTAATTCGCGCGGCAAAGAGAAAAAGGGAGTGGAAATTAATAATAAAAGAGCCGGTTGCGGTAAAGCCATTTTCGCGTCGTTTTAATGGAACCTCATGTTTTATAATGCTTCCACGGTTAACATGGACAATTTCTCAAATTTGCATTTCAAGGATGCACGCGCATCTGCTTTTTGCTCCGATTCTCGCTTCAACCATCACGAAATTCTATATCTTCGAGTGAAAATCCTTCTTACAGAGAGATCTCTGAATTTTCCATTTTCCAAGTGGCCTCGTTAAAAAGTTAAAAAAGTGTCGCACGCTTGTGAAGATTCGATCCAAATTTTTATCAGAAATTCCAATTTTTTAGAAACTTTTTATAAATTTGATTAATATTTGAATTCCATTTTCAATTTGTAATTTTTTAATTCAATTTTTCAAGAGAAATTAGATGATTATCTTCGATAATTTTCACATATTTATAAAGTTCATTTTATACAAGGAATAAAATTGCAAATCAATAAACGTAATTACAAAAAAGTAATCGTGTATGTACTTCGACACGTCAAAGAAAGGGCTTTAATTTGAATATCGAGAAGCTCTTACCATTGTCAAATATCATCAAGGCGGGATGATTAAGCAAGGCAAATTTGCTTAAAAATTGAGTTGTTGCTCGATAATAATGAATATTCATCGGTGATAAAGCACGAGATATCTCGTGATCCATTTGTGCAAGCAATAACGTACACGGGATATCTTGTGATTTCGAGTGTTAACCATTCGACAAACGAAAAATTCATTTGTTTACACATTGTTCTTTCACCACTTCCAAATATTCTCGATACTTTCCACAATTTATTTCCATCGTTACAATTACTTTTCATTTTCGCCTTCGAGAAGAAGCAAAACTTAGACTTATTCGACAATTGATCGAGTCAGGTATAATTGACTTACAATTATCCTCAACAAGAAGAAGAAGAAAGATTTAGATGTGGAGAGTCATTCGATTATCGATCGGTTCAGATACAATTTATTTCTATTATTATGTTATTCATTAAGAAGATTTGAATAATCATTCAAAGAATAGATTAGAATAATCATTCGATAATTATTATTGGTCGAGATGATTACAATTTGTCCTTCCTCGTTCAGACGCAAGTTGAAACAAATTGCTTTTAACAATGTGACAAAAAGTTTACGATAGATGAGCAATGGAGAAGAAAGATAAACGCGCAACAATGAGGTGTCTGATGCAACACCTCGACGAGAAAGCAAAACGCTTCGATGTGTATTTTGAATATTCATCGCACGTTTCGTGAACTGATTAAATGCAAATCGGATTAACCCTCCTTCCCCCTCTCAGTCTGCCTCAGTTCTAGCTTCGAACCTGCTAATTTGAGACCTGCAATCCCATATTGAGGAATCTTTAGATCGAGGAGCCTTAAGATTCATTTTCCTCGTTATAATAATTTCGTTTTTTGTTATGAATGATAAAAAAATCTGTGAACATTTAACACCAATTCTTGATAATTCTGATTATTTTTGTAAGCTGTTTTATATATTATAAGAAAAAATGTCAAATAAGAATTTGATTTCATTTCAATATCAAAGAAATTTAGAATAAAGTAATATTATATAATAAAATACTTTGAATGAAATTTAATTTTTGATATGAGAAAATTAATTTTTTTTTTAATTATTTAAATCATTTAAGAATTTCCTTTTTCCAGTATATTTACTGCTGAGAGAAATTACAACCAAGGAATTTTAAACGTAGAATATAAAATATAAAGCTTAAAATATTTATTAAATATGTTAAAAAAAGGGCTATCTTAATCCATCTTAATTTCGAAAGAAATAATCCATATGCACGATCTTTCAATCTTCTTCCTCCTCGTTAATTTACATTCGAGTAAGTCGACGTACTTTCGAGTGTCGATCGAGTGCACCACCTGTCGTAACGCAATCCACCTACGGAACCAACAAACACGAATCATCCTACAATCGCGCAACGTAGACTTCCTTTAACAAATCAACCCTGTTAAAAGGTTAACAGGAATATAAAATTAAAATAAAATCGATTCCTAAGCAAGTTTAATAAATTTCTAGAAACACGAGAAATCTGTCAAGCCTTCTAACTACTCCAAAAAAAAGAAAATGGAAAATAATAATTTCCTGTGTCAAAATAAACTCAGATACAACTATTTGAAAAACTTTCAAACCATATATTATTTGGCAGCAAAAACAAAAATCGAAATAATTTTCGTCAGAAGAAATTCATCGACAGTCGAGGAAAACACTTCTTCTCCTCCAACTCTTCTCCTAACGAAGAAAAAATGGCGA